TTTCTTGCATGCAATTTTCAAGCTTAAGAAATGTGATCCAGCAGTGTAATAACAAGCTGGATATGATGGAGTAAGGTTTGTTTTGCCTCCATTTCTATGTCTATTGTATTTACATTTAAGTTTTAATTGATATTTTGGTCCTGTGTTTTCCCCAAAGAGATTTTCTGAAGGCTCCCATTTTTTTCAATTAAAAATGATATATTTAATATATTGTAAACAAAAGAAATCCTCCTTAATGTACCCAGAAATGAGATCTTGTTCGTGCACTAAAACTTCACTTAAAAATATTTATCTGTTAGTAACATAAACAAAGCTATGATTATAGAGACTTGGAGGAAAGGCCCTCAGTTTGGGAAGGGCCAATATCAGGAACAAATTCTCAGATTGGAGTGCGGCCTGAGTAGAGGAGAGGAAGACAGTATTAAGGCAAATATGCAGCAGGTGATATAGAAACAGCATCTGAAGGAGAAAGCCTCTTGATGACCCATCTGAGAGGGTAGAAGTCAGTTTATTTATCTTGGTCAACTCAATCTCAACACAAGAGATAGTCCAGAAGGGAAATGAAATAGAGGAAAGAAGCAGAGATTAGATTTTTTTTTATGTTATCATCTGATTTTACAATATGTAGGCTCTCTGAATTTTTTTCACTGGAGAAAATTAAGTGCTCTTGATCCTTTAAGAGCCTTAGAATAAGAGTGTGATCAGCCTAGGCTTATAGATTCAGTCTCTGGAGCCACCATGACAGTGATAAAGACCTGTCGGCTCCATATGTGATCTCATGATTAAGGCTTGCCTCTTTCTTGAGGGTCTGCAAACTTCCTCCTACTGTAAGTTTAGCCTCATATGCAGGGAAATTGTTTAATGGAGCCACTTATCTACCTGTGTGAGGTGAGTACAAACAAGTGCTCAAATCATTATCATTTGCCATGTCATCACTCATGCAATCTCATAAAAATTGTCTATGAGTTGGTAAATCTTTTTTTTTTTTTTTTTTTTTTTTTTTTGTTTTTTTTTTTTTTTTTTTTTTTTTTTTTTTTTTGAGTTGGTAAATCTTAGTACTTATCTGCAAGGCTATTTTGTAAGCAGAGAATCTAGTGTGTTATTACACTAATACTTAAATCAATACTTCATGCTTGTACTTCTCACTCCAAGATATTCGCATGAAAGTCGGCTTTGTATGGAGGATGGGGGGAGAAGGTATAATTGAATAGAAGAGGATGGGAGAAGAATAACACTGCCCTTTAACCGTTCCATTTGGAAAGAGACATTTAAAGCAAAATCTACCAAAATGACGACTTTAACGACAAGGGAAGATAGCTCCACCACATCCCCTCTGTTTACACATGCTATTGTTTCAGCCCCTGAGGTTTTGTTTACTTTGGAAGGAAATATTTTACCCCCTCTGAGATAATTAATTTTTGTCAGCTTCACTGTTTATAAGGGAAACTGAGAAACTGTTAATTGAAATACAGAATGAGTCAGTGTTTCCAGTAATTTTTGGCAGCATTCTAATTTGTGTCAATCCCAGCCTAATTATTAGATTTTTTGGAAGCAAAAAGCATATTTGATTTTTCTCTTACTGAATTTGTTCTTCCTCTTTTTGGAAATATGTACTGTCTGACAAAGGTCATATGATTTATGTCAAAGTGAGGTGAAATACCCGTACGTTTGAAACACCAGAAGGCTTATTGCATCATGTTTGGCTCTTCACAGCAGCTCAATGTTCAGAAGGTTCTTTTCCTCATTCCCACCCACAGTCCCGACCAGAAAATGTGATTCTTGCAAAGACCTTTTAGTTAGGATGAAGTCGAGGTATATGGCCCATCACTAATGACATCACTGAAGTAAATTTCCCAGAAGCCATCAGGGAGAATTCATTTGGAAATCCAATTGAATGTCACTTGCAAAGGGCAGGCTCCTGGAAGAGGTGACCAGTCATGCATTCCCGAGTTGTTTGCTGTAAAAGCATTAATCACCGTGAACCCATTTACTCCTAAGGCAAACGCACTGCATTATTCCATGGCAATTCTGTTCCAAATGATCGTTAATGTAGAGGACGGGAGCTGCTGACTGTGGGCAGGGTTAATAAAATTCGTCAGATCAATGGCCAGTATAATGGGCCTGTTAATGGTTTTGAATAGAGGTTGGATTGTCCTGGCTGCAGTAGATGGAAGGCTGGGAGAGAGAGGCAGGTGGCTGTGCTGAGAGACAGCTCCGTCTCCTGCCTGCTGGGGTGGCCTCTGGTTGAAGAGAGCATCCCTGTCAGTCACTGAGCATCCACAGGGCTCAGAGGTGGCCTTGGCTGGGAACGCAGGCACCAGCTGTGGGCTGGGGAGGGAGCCCAGTGTCAACGATACTCCAGCAGCTGGCACGCCACGGCCTCTTGCAGACCACAGGTCAGAGTCCATCTAAGCAACTGAAGCCATGGCTATCCCAGACCCTTGCCTGCACCCCGACCTGGGCCCACCAGTGAGATGAAGGACAGCAGTCACACTGATAATAGTGGCAACCCCAGCAAATGCTCACCGAAGTGCTGTGAGGCCAAAGACTAAGCTTATTACATGCACGCACCTCAGTCCCCATGGCGCAGCCCTGGAGGTATGTACTATTTACTGTCCCCATTTCATAACTGGGGAAGCTGAAGTTCAGAGAGATTCGGTCACCAGCCCAGGGTTAGATTAGAGACCCTTAGAAGCCATGTTCCTTTATTGGAGGGAGAGACACAGAAGCTGCAGCCCAGAGTCAGGCTGAAGAAAGATGCAAGGTGTGACAGGGAGGAGAGTCGTTCCATTTGTCTCTCCAGCCAGTCAGTATGTTCAGGATCATCCTGGAACAAATTATGTAAAAGCCATGGTTTGTCTGCAGTGCTGTTCCTCTGGGCGTTGTTGCTGAAATTCAGGGTGCCCAGGGCCCTTGAGATGCCCAGGTGCTCTGGGCCACCCCACTGTGGCCTTGACCGGGGCACTCTGAGAGGTCCTCTTCACTCAGTGCTCCCCTGTACTTACAGCTTGGTCCTTTTCTCCCTGCCCCTGCCCCACCAAAACTTGACCCGGTTCTGGTCATCTGCAGGTCTCTGTGATCTCTGACTGCCCTCACCGGCTCAGCTCGGGTGCGAGGAAGCTCCTGCCGCCGGGGGATGCCTCATGAGCATAAGACTTGTATGAATGACAGCAAAGACTGCCCAGAGCTGGCCCCCAGAGTTCCAGCTGCACTGCTGGGCATGGGAATGCAGTGACATTCCCAAGCTCCAGTGACTGACCTAACTGAGGGGCTGGCACAGCTGCCTTGGGGCTGAGGAACAGGGTGGGGTGGGAGCTTGCAGGTGGAGACTGTGGGTGAAAGAGCCAGCCATGAGCTGAGGAAATTGACGAGCAGGAGTGAAGGAGGAACGATAGCTGGGACTATAAAAAAACGTAAAATACTAACACTACTAGATGTTCCCAGTAAGCTCAGAGGATTGCAGAAGGACTTCATAAATGTTACCAGTAAATGAAAAGACACTGCCCACATACTCCAGTGACCCTTCCCAGGTCAGCTTCTACACCAAGAGGGGAGCAGGCTGCAGCAGTCTTTGCATCTGAAAACGCCATGATCCCTAAAGTTATTTCCTTATGTCATTTAAAAAAAAAAAACCTGCTTTTAAGGGTTTGGAGGGTGTAAGAAAGCAGATGGTTTTAAGGAGGGGGTGATGCAGGGGAGGAGGGGGAGGACATAGGGGTTTCAGAGGTAGGCTCACACATGCCCCACACACTTACCACCCTCGGCAGGACTGAGCTCAGTTACGCCTTGCTAAATGCAACAGGAAAATGCAGAGATGGGTAGAATGTGTTCTCCGGCCCCCCAGAGCTTATAAGTATACATCATAAGTGCTAGACTACATGGCACAGGATATAAATGCAGTCTAGTTGAGTGAAATTAGCAACAGGAAAATTCAGAGACAGCATCATGGAAGATTGCATTGGCTGCAAAGAACATAGAGGATTTGAATCCCGGGGAGAGAAGGCACAGTCCACACAGGGAGAGGAAGCAGGGACAGGAGGCTGGAAGTGTGAGAGAGCATGCTGAGCGCAATGGAGCGTGAAGGAGACAGCCTCGGTCCAATGGAGGAGGGGTGTGTGCACACGTGGGGGCGTGTAGGTGTGCACAAATAAGTGAATGTGTATGAGAGTATGCATGAGTGTGTATGTGTGCATGTGCATGCGTGGGCACAAATGTGTGTGAGAATATGCCTGTGTATGTGTGAGTGTGCATGCACAAATGTGTGAATGTGTGTGCATGTACATGAGTGTGCACAAATGTATGTATGCATGACTGTGTGAGTGTGCATGTTTGTATGTGAATGTATGTAAGAGAGCGTGTGTGTGTGTGTGTGTGTGTGTGTGTGTGTAAGAGTGTTTGTGTGTGTTTTAGGAGAGGGTAGCAAGGCCAGGCATGGTGGCTCACACCTGTAAACCCAGCACTTTGGGAGGCGGAGGCGGGCAGATCCTTTAAGGTCCGAAGTTCGAGACCAGCCTTGCCAACATGTTGAAACCTCGTCTCTACTAAAAATAAAAAAATTAGCTGGCTGTGCTGGCACTTGACTGTAATCCCAGCTACTTGGGAGGCTGAGGCAGGAGATTCGCTTGATCCTGGTAGGCAGAGGCTGCAGTGAGCTGAGATTGCCCCAATGCACTCCAGCATGGGTAAGTGACAGAGCAAAACTGCATTCCCCCTTCCTCAAAAAAAAGGGGGGGGGGCAGAGGGCAATAAGCAGGACCAGAGAGAGGGTGAGGCACACTGCAAGAGCTTTGGTAGCCAGACAGAGGAGTCTGGACTAATCTGGTAGGCAAGAGGAGCCACTGTGCGTCCTTGGGTATCTTGGGAGCGTGACCTAAACCAAGTTCTGGAAAAGTTCATCTAGCAGTGTATAAGAGGTAGACTGAAAGGGGAACAGAGAATTATGGGCACTCTAGGCAGCCAGGACACCCTGCCATTCTGATTTGCCATCTTCTCTCCTCCAGCACACTTCCATATTGCCCATCACATTGACTGAAGTCATCCTCAGGCCGTACTCCTATCCGTCAAAGAAGACAGGACTCACCTTGCTGGCTGCTGGCAGCATTGCTTACGTCAGCAGGTAAGAATCGCATGGAGAAGGTCAACTTAGGCTTGTCATTCAAGGTCCTGAGGGAAGTTCCAGAAGTGTATACTGTTCTGTCAGAATCCCTTTGTCTTGGTTTCAGAAGGATTTAACCATCTTTACAATTCCAGGTAAGAAAGATTCTTATTGTTCGATTTTAATGCCCATGGAAACCTCCATGCACAGAAACATGCAGGTGTGCACACACCACACACAGCAAGGCACAACTTCCCCCCTCTCTCTCTCAGGAAGAATTAATCATTGCAAAGCCACACACCTCGCTTTCCCAGAAAATGTTGCTTCTTGGTTCCATTTTCAATGAACACGTCTGAATGGCTGAGCAATCTGAGGCATCTAACTACATTCTACCTAAAAAGGCATGTAGTAGGCAGAGCGTGCTGGGTTTGTCCACTTCTGTTGCCTGTTTCATGACGGGCTTATTTGCATCAGCAGCTGGCATCAGAGCTCCTAGAAGGCATTTGGGCAATTGCATGGGAGATGATTTCGGTAGCTGGCCTAAATTTCATCATTTAACCACCTGGCAACACTCATTCTCAGAAACGCTGCCCAATAGTCTAATCAAGGGAACGTGCTTGGCCTTTCACCCAGTGACTGAGAAACTTTTCTTCCATTCTATAACCTTCTCATCTAGCACCATGCTTTTGTTCCTACTGAAAGAAAGAGGCGTGCTGAACACAAGACCTGCAGATTGGAAGCTCATCAGCATTCCTTCTCTAGACTCACATAAGCTATTCATGTGTGACAGTCTGGACAACCCTCCTGTCCCTATGTGGGGGAAGTTTAGTTCAGTTCGGTGCTCTGTCAGGTATGGAAGCCAAGAGAGGGTGTGTATTCCAAAGAACTTGGGCTCTAGCAGCGCCTGTTTTATGGGCTCAACCAGCCTCTATCTTAGAGCAAATAAACTTGGTGCCCAGACCTCATTTTCTGTTTCCTCCCTAGCCCTTCCTTCCCTTTTGTGGTATCTACCCCTCCCACCTTTCTATGTCCCTCTTTCCCTGAGTACCCAAATCTTTCTTTTCCCATCATGAAAAAAGCACTTGCTCAATAAATCTACCCCAAGACTCCAGTGCTCTGCATTGTTCTTCAGCCTCCGGAGCCTTTACATTTTAACAAAGGAACTTTCAGAGAACAGGGCTTCAGCTTGGGACCTACTGATAGTTGATGTCTGGAGCACTCTATTGAGAAGGAATCTGAGGCACTACCAAGAAAAAGTTGCGTGCTTATTAGGCATTGACTTTTTTTTTTTTTTTTTTTTTTTTTTTTTTTTTTTTTTTTTTTTTTTTTTTTTTTTTTTTTTTTTTTTTTTTTTTTTTTTTTTT